TACAGCTTGAAAACTTGCGCGCTCGAGGTCAGCTTATTTTAATAAAATTTTATACAGGTCTTTGAGATATAATTTACAAAGTCTTGCACGAAGGATTTTTTTTTGTTCAATTACAATTATTAAAACAAACAAAAAAAACGTCGGGAAATTTTCACCAAAATTTTTATATTTTTGTAAAATGTCCAGTACCTAGTTACTGATCTTGGTTCAAACACGTATTTTTTTTTTTTTACTACTTCTAGTAGCCAGTTGTAGCAGTGCACAATAGTATTACGAATGTTACGAGTTAACTAAACCACTAAAATCGACGAAACGCCTAAAGGATTCAACAGATTCTCTCGTCTTCAGACTCATCTCATAGCAAAACAGATTTAAACCTTTGAAACAAATATTTAATATTCAAATATATTCAAAGCCATGAGAACCACTCGCAGGCGAAATATTGAAGCTACTTCGAGTTCCTTCTTGCTCTGACAAAAAATTATTTATATTAATTAAAATATTACATAACCAGTGATCTAACTAGCCTTTGAAATTAATCGAGCACCAAGTAATTTTTGTTCAAGTTCCGTCGGAAACACATATTTCCACGCCCACTTCTTAGTTGATCCCACCTCCTAAAACCAAAAAACTTAAGTCATTTTTAGTTCAAGCTGCGTCGTAAAGGCATATTTCTAGAACGTTCGTCCGTTGACCCAAAATCTTAAACCTTTCATTGGTGATTTTTCTTACAAGTCTCGTCGAAACAGCACGTCTCTGCGACCTCTCGTCCATTGACCTAGTTAAAAACTCAACGCTTTGCAACATTTAATTATTTGCTGTAAATGCTCAAACAGCTGATTTGATATCACAGTACCGAAAAAAAAAATCTAAACAAAAACTCACAAAAAATACGAATTTTTGCGCTCTCTTTTCTCGTGTTTATTTTCGCGCAACAAATCATATGATTGCCCCCGTGGTCACTTGGTTATTTACATTTGCGGCGTCGCTGTCTGCCGTTTTTTTTTTTGCGCTGCTGCACGCGCTGCCAACGAAAACCAATACAAACAAAAAATGCCGGCAATTTTAGTTGTTGCTGCTCAAATCACATTGGCGCTCTCATTTATGTTGTCTGCTCTTTTTTGTTTTGGGCTTTTGGCTTTTTTACTTTGCTTAGTTTTTACGCTGCGCTGTCTCGCTGACAAAGCGCCTTTGTTGCGTCGCTGTTTGGCGGCATGGCTGGCTGGCTGGTCAGTGTTGTTGGTGGCGACCGCTGCGCGCCATAAACGAAATAGAAATACAAACAAAACGACTGATAGCAAAGAGTTGTAGAGTTGCGCTGCTAATGAGCGCGTTCTTTTCGTGTTTTACATGTGTTTTTGTATATACTTATACAGATTAATATATTTTTTTGGAGAGCGAGTGTACTGTGCATGTTTCAGCAACAAGTTTGAGTCGCAAAAATAAAGTTGAAAAAAAATAAATAAATAGATATGTAATAGGCATGTGTGAGTACATAAAAATGTGTTACATTCTTTGTTATACATTTCGAGTTTAAATGAGGGTTGGCCGAGTTCCATTTTTATTGACGCGCGCGTGTGTGTGTGTGCGTTAAAAGCTCAGTGGCAACACACTGTTCAACGGTTTGTGGGAAAGTAATTGAAAAATGCGGTTTCAGTTTCGATGTGCAATGAAATCGGAAAGTAATAAGGAAAAATATGTTTTGATTGTGTGGATGTATGTACAGATGTAAATATGTACAATAAGAAAATATGTCATTTATCATCACAGTTTTATTTCCACATATTTTCTGCATAGAATTTAATTATTTTACAATTACTCTTCTTCTTACGCATTCTTTAAGAGCATAAACATATTTTAGTATTTTTTTTATCTGAACAGCGAGATCTTTGCTATGCTATGCCGTAACAGCATCGCTTCAGCGACATTATACGCGAGTTCTAGAAAGAGAGCAACCTTTCTCCAATTTCGACCGATTGGAAGCGAGTCGCTTTTTCGAGGTCTGCTTTTGTTCTAGCCAGAGTAAACCGTAGGAGGTCCACCGAACTACTGGCTCTTAGCAAAGCCAATCTCGCTGCAATTGTAGGTGTTTGGACTGGACATTGTCCAATAAGTTTACATGCGGTGGGCTAAATATTCTATCGGACGTTATTGGCCAAAACTGTATGGAGAAAGAAGGTGGAATCAACTTGTCACTTCCTTCACTATTGCACGGCTTTTGCCAGATTGAGAATGAAATATCTCAGTAGACACAGCTTTGACGAACCTATTGTAGTGCCTGGGATTTGTATTAATCGGCTTAATTACTTTGTTGTAAGCTTAAAACGCTTCGTCGATTTATGAGGAGCTGGTGATCCACTTTTAGAGGTTTATGTGTAACTCAAAGAACAAATATCTGTACCTGTAAGTGAGATCCAGCGATTTTGGATCAACTCTACGACGAACCTAATCCATTTTATATTATATACTTGTACGTTTGAAAAGTCTGCCAGCTACTTAGAAAGTGAGAATACAGGAGCATACGTTGTACAGAAAGGGTGGCTTATGGTTCAATGTACTCACTAATGTGAAGTAGTAAAGCAGTAGGCGCTTACGACGGGCTCAAGCCCACTGGCGGCAAGAGGTCAAATCAAAGTCTGACTAACTCTGTCAAAACGACATGAGACTCACGTCACAAGTCACAGATATCGACACTAATGAACCAAAACTCTTGTAGTCCAAAGCGTTAGGCGACTGTACAGTCCATAAACCCTTCATCTCTTCGTCTGGAGTTCTGCAAAAACGAAAAGTTTTGGAAAAATAGCAAATCTGGGATTGAATTTATAGCAATTTTCTCTCGCCGCAATACAAAAAATATTTGGAGAGTATATATGAACAATTACCACAATATTTATAGCAATTGTCGAGTACCCAAGCTGTCATAACTCAAATGTCTACACATATTATGCGCGCTACTGTAAAATTAAATAAGAAGCTACACATTGAACTGCCCTGACGCTATCCACGACAGAAATTGCTCATGTTTGCTTTAGGCAATTGAATTTTCAGCAGTGATTTATTTAATGTGCTGTAAGGTCGAAGGGATTTATATAGAAAAAATATGTTAAAAATAGACTAAGTAAAACAAAAATATAAATTTCACAAAAATTAAAACTGTTCGAAAGCATTAAAACGTGTTTCGACAATTATGACTGCTTGGTTCCCGTCACTTTCAAGCACATTTACAAAGGCTGCCGCTGACTGCGTGTTGGTGATGTGCTGAAACGCGAGAGCGGCGTATTCTACGCTGAATGACGTCATTACCACTCCTCGTTGTTTTTTTAGTATTCCTCCTCGTTTTAAGTATATACATATGTACATAGCTACACACATACGTACATTTTTGTTAATGAAAGATGAGTAAATTTAATCGCCTAAGCAAGCACGTGGTCACCCAACAGGTTTTCTCGCTATTTTCAGTTTTATTTTGATTTTGATTTTCAAGGCGCCAGACGTCGCGCAACAACTTTTATGTCAATCGGTCGTGTAAAATTACATGCAAACCCAAAATCAGAAAAAAAAGTATATAAAAAAAAAATTATAAAAAAAAGTATATAAAAAAAAATTATAAAAACAAAGTATATGAAAAAAAAAATTTGTATAAAATAAAAATTATATAAAAAAAAATATAATAGAATTAAAAATAAAATAGAATTAAAAAAAATTGTATTTAAAAATAAATTTTAATTAAAAAATATTATATAAAAAAAATAAATTAAATTAAAAAATAATAATAATAAAATTAAAAAATAATAATAATAAAATTAAAAAACTTAATAGAATTTTAAAAAAATTTAAACAAATTTATAAAATTGAAAAGAAATAAAAATAAAAATTGACATTCACAAGCGCGGCGCTTGGCCATCAAAGGGAAAGAGCAAAAAACCAATAAAATATTTTGTAACAATTTTGAAATCGTTCACATGTTGCGGAGCTCGTGTGCGTAAAGCCAAAGTGAGTGGCCAGCGGAAGCAAAAATCAAATCAGACGAGCGAGAAGGCGGCAAATGCTGGCGCAGCGGCTGATGAACCACATGCTTGAGCATGAGGGGCAAAAGCTTACGACAACATTAGTGAGTTCGTGCACGTGGTCGGCAAAAATAAACACTGGCGATTTGCCACCAAAAAGATACTTCAGTTTGCTGCTAACGAACGGCTTAACAAAAAAAACACCGCGTCTTCGGCCAAAATGAACAAAAATTTCGGTTGGGTAATGAGCGAACGCTTAGAAAAAATTTGGAAATAAAAATATTGTGTGCTAGTGTGAAGTGTGTTAAAATTAAAATTAAAAAAAAAATAAAATAACGAAAAAAATCAATAAAAAATATATTTAAAAAAATCAATAAAAAATATATTTAAAAAAATAAAATGAAATATAAAAAATAAAAATAAAATATAAAAAATAAAAAAAAAATATAAAAAAAATATATAAAATAAAATAAAATAAATAAAAACAAATTATTAAAAAAATATACAAAATAAAAAATTAAATATAAATAAAAAAATAACATAAAATATAAATAAAATATAATAAAAAAAAGATACAAAAAATAAGAGACAAAAACTAAAGTAAAATAAAAATATGTAAACAATAGACAATAGTTAAATAAAAACATAATAAAAATAATATATATATACCTATATTATATAAAATATAAAAATAAAATAAAAATAAAAAATAAATATAATGTACAAAAAAAATATATAAAATAAAAATAAACTAAAAAAAAAATTAAAAATAAATAAAAACTAAAACAAAAATTAAAAAATAAATAAAAACTAAAAAAAAAAATTAAAAAATAAATAAAAACTAAAATAAAATATAAAAAAGCAATTGAGAAAATAAATTGTTATTAAAAATTTCACAGGAAATAAAAGTCCTATATAACAACAGTAGACAATTAATTTTTTTTTAAATACGAAAGCGCAAAAAATATTGTTTATAACTAATTTAATGAGAATAAAAAAAATAAATTAGATGACTAAAAAAAAATAATTAAAAATTAATATTTAATAATAAATTAAGGAATAACATAAAAATAATTTAATAAAAAATAAATAATTAAAACAAAAAAAGTAAAAAATTACGCTACGCAACAAAGCTGAAGGAAAATTTTGCGAATGTTGTGCTAAGAGGTCTGTGGAGGTATTTGAGGTGTACTGATAACGAATTTGAGTTCAAAAATTTTCCATCATTCATTTTTGTCATTTTAGTAAATGTTGGTGGTTTAAACACTACAGCTCTTGACTACAACACAAAAATATTCGAGGTGTGAGGAAATTTTTACTAGCATTTTCGAGTTTAGCAACTCAAAGCTAGCAAGAAACAGTCTCTAACAGCACAGTCGCAAAATGACTGTAAACTAGCGTCATTTTTTATAGAAGAAATGTAAATAATATACCATACAATTAACTGGAAAAAATTTCCATAAAAATTTTCTAACAAAATTTATTTCGAAAATTTGCACTTGAGTTCGGCCATGCCATACAACAAAAATTGTCTAAAGTAATGTCAAGTTAAACCGTTTGAAAAAAATAAATATACACATATTGTACATATAAACATGGATCTGTAGCTGTATCTAAAAATATGAAGCCTAACATTAATCTTTCGGCGTGCCCACTAAACTTTTGAAAAAAGAAAAATCATAATTATCTTAAGCATTAGTGAAATTTATGAAAAATGACGTCAAAAGTACAAACACACTAGAAAAGAGGAACAAGAATGAAAAAAAAATATGTGTACAAGTACATACCCTTAAAAGCGAGTTCAAAAGCAGCGCGAGACTGTATAACTTATTGTGTTAAGACACTACGAACTTTGCGCTATCATTAGGTATATGTATATAAAAAGCAATAATAACTGTAAATGCGTGTGTTAGAAGTTTAATTGGAGGAATTACTGCTAAATGAGTGCTCAAAAACATAAATGAATAAAGAGTACTATAATACTCAAAAAGCAAGCGATAACAAAGATATGTGAAAGAAATACTGACACAAGTCAATGGAAGCGTATGTTATAAGAGATAGGTGGCTCACTAACCGTGCGTGCAGGCTGGGGGTGGCAGACCACAGCGGTATCGGAACAGGCAGCTGTAAAGCCGATGAGTTGGCAGGGCATGGTACCCTAGTCTCGCTATCAATAGAATGGCAACCGATCGGTATTTCTCACTTCTCATATATACTACTAGATCCAGCTGGGCTTCGCGGAAACTTGGCCAGCGCTCGGCGACCATCGGTTCATGCGCTGCCGCAAGTTCCGTTTGGCACAAGAGCGATCGTAAGAGATGGAGAGTTTTCGAAAGATAAACACGATTTGGGAAATATAAAGTCAACTGGTTCATGTCGACCCAAACGGAAAGCCGCGATATCAACCTAACGGTAATGAGAAACATGTGGCTTTACGCCGCTAAAGGTTACAGGCTTCAAAAACACAAAAAAAAAAATTGATTGTCTTATTTAATTCCATAACATCTCTAGAATATTGTGCTAAATTCTCAAATTGATACCAGTAATAGTTTTAGAGTTACAGCTTTGAAAAGTCAGCTATATAGTCACTTAAAACTTTAAACGCGTTTTTCAAACAAATTGTGTTTTAAAAGTCGGTTGTCAAGATTTCTCGCGAACTACTCAACCGAACTTAATGAAATTTTACACAGATCTTTGAGATATAATTCATAAGGTCTTGAATTCAATTACAACTATCTGCTTTCAATTAAAATTATTTAAAACAAAAAAACGTCGAGAAATGTTCATCAAAATTTGCATATTTTTGTAAAAAAGTCTGCCAAAAATACAATTTTTACTTTTTGTGTTTTTTCTTCGTTCAATAACTAGTTAATGGTCTTAGTTCAAATACGTATTTTTGTTTTTTTACTTTAGATGATATTGTCAGAAGTTCTGCGAGAGCAGCTTTTTTCAGAGTGACTTTTGGAAATCAAATCGTAATGACCGAGTTTTGAGTATTTTTCATTGAAAATTTCACAAAATCGTTAACAAATATGTATCTTCGGCATAATAAAAATTTTGAATAAAATATTGCATTTTTTAAATGAAAAAAAAAATATTTTCGAAAATAGGGCGTTTTTTGCTCGACGAAACCCATGTAACCGCTTGGAGGAGTGGAAAACAGTTCTTATCGTTTACTCCTAGCAGTGTTTTAAGGTTATACTATATATTATCTTTTCCAACTGTTTATTTGTATATAAGGCGTATATGCTTGTATGTATGCCTTGAGACAGCTGCTAAGAGCATTTCTCAAGCGCATAATCTACTAGTATACCCTTGATTGAATCGAACTACCATTTCAATTAGTGCATTACAAGCTTGTCGTGGACGGAGTTATGCTCTATAATTATGCGCACATACACAGACACACGCGTTGCTTGTCAATTATGCAGCATCAGATGTATGCACGCAGCGCGCTCCCTCCAACGCCATACATAATTCAACTTTGACCCAACCAATTGAGGGATTAAACTGGCGTTGCTTCATAAGATGCGCAGCCAAATATGCAGAATGCAACGCTGCGTATATGTGTGTGAGTGTAGTTATGTATGGCTGCCTGCATTAAACCGTTATATACTTGTATTATTTATAATATAAATGCATATGCTGTTAGGCGCAAGTCACGCTGAGCGCAGAAAGACTGTCTCGGATAAGTAAATAATTAGCAAATGTTTACCGTTAGCTTGCACATATTGAAGTATGTATATGTATATAAAACTATGCACACATACGCGTTGCAATATTTCGTTAATAATTTAAACATGGCAGCGACCGAACTGTTTATCTTGATTATTAATTAGAAGACGAATTTTCGGTTGGCGACCTAGACGTGCTGCTTTCTGCGTGTGGGTTGGGCAAAGACAAACTGGCGTTTGCAACAAGCATAAGCAGACACACAACACACACACACATAAACGCCGACTGCAAGAATTAACAGACCGAACAACACGAGTTTAGCTTGCTTTGGCGGGGTAGGGAGGCGCTAAGCAATCCAGCAGCGTAGTGGTTGGGCGCGCGAGGGCTTATGAATAGCTTGCGTTATTGCAACAGCGGTTAGATAGCATTTGTTTTGCTAAAACACACGCTGGAACACAAACACAAGACGACTGAGGGCACGGTGTGAGGCGCGGACGGCTGCTAAGAAGTTTCTTTGCTGGGCGGCGCCGTTAACTGCGATGTTGGTGATTAAGCAAAGCACGTTTTGTAAATATTTGTATTCACATAAGTTGCAAGGATTTGTCGCCAGCAGCGTCCGAAACGGGCTTAGTTGCGTCACTGTCAGTCTTCAAACTGAGTTTATTGAAGATGCACTACTCATGCCACGGATAATTACAGATTTGCAGTGGTCTGCAATTAGAGCAACCGTGAGACCAATGCTTTCTGCTAATATTTCAATTCAATCTTAGCTCGCGTAAAACTCTACATCACTTTTGTGGCTGGCTCACTGCTGGACCAAGAAAAAGCGAAAAGTAGTGGGAACAACTGTCATACAGCTGCAAGATTTTCATCGGCTGTGAAGTGCAACATAGACTTAATTTAGACACAATTATCCGTACAAACTTCTGTGACAACTTTCTGATGCGTCCACACTACTGGACTTGCTGTCACTCCAAATGTCAAAAGCAGTGCCAAGAAACACATCTGTCCAAGCCAAACCCTACATTGCGCTGCGCTAGCGAGTTGTAGTCGGAGCTTTCACTCAACTTCGACATATTTCACTTCGTATTATTGCCAACTTATTGCGCAAAATTTGACGCGTTTCGTCTTGGGATTACAACATATTCGGACCTATGCAAAGGCAAACAAGCCACGCCCTGGCATTCACGCTTGTAAAACCACACCGCACCCCACCCGCTTCTTGCAACTTAAGCAAACACACATAAGCAGCACAGCTTTACTGTGTACACACTCGAGATATTGCAAATGCGTAACTTAAGGAAAACAACCACGACCACACACCACACCGCGCTGCAAACTGCAAGCAACCGCGCCTTGCACAGCCGCCATCTTCGAAGTAATTGCATTAGGCCTTTGTTATGCAATTAGCATAAGCATATGCGTTTACTTGAGTACTTATGTGCATGTAAGTTGCCGTTAAGTACACCTATACAAGCGGCCACTAACCAGCGGCCAGCGCACACGACGCACACACACGGCGGCGCCAAGGTTAGCGCAGCAAACAAAGTCCGAAATTTCAACAACCACCCACCCACCTATGTTACGGTCACTTGGCTGAGCCTACCACCACAGCACAGCACAGCTCAGCTCGGCTCATTTCCCGTTATCCTTGGCAGCGCCATATCTGCGGCTGACGCAAATGCATTTGCTGCTGAAGACATTATAAACATAATTATAATTATTTGATAACGCCCAACCAACTGTGCTTGCTACGCCTGCCTGCCCCACCAACACCGTTGCCGGCAGTCAGCAAATATGCGTGGTTTCTATTGAATGTGGCATTTGGAATATCATATTTGAATTTCGGTTGTCATGCCGAAACTATGCAAGCGTTGAATTATTGACGATTTTTAGTAACCAAATATTATTGGAATAAGACTTGTTTGACTGCAGTTGCTCTGGTATGGGTGCATTAATTTGCATTGCTGTTGTCGAACGGAGTTATTGTGTGGTCAGCGGTCGACAAAGCGCAGTGTTGCAATACAATCCCAAAGGAAGGCAGCTTTGCAATTACTAATTAAGATAATTATCTTAAGAGCTGCATGTTGCAACTGCACTTTTGGCTTCTGAAAATTGGTAAGTACAGCATGGTCTAACACAGAGACACGCATTTATAAGACCTCACTCGTACTCGGTATTCCCAATTATTTTGTGTATTCGACTTAAAAGATCCGAAATCTATTTATGAAAGCAGATGGAGTTGTTCTTACTTGTCGCTGCAAAATGAGTTGTCTAAAATACAACAACTATTATTATTATTTTTTTTTTGTTATTTCTTATTTTTTTCACATTTTGTTAACGTTCAATAAGAGCCGAGCATGAACTAAAGCCAATGGTCTATGACTAACACCAAAAAAGCTTTCTCAAAAACAAGCAAAATATACCTTAAATTGAATTCTTGTCTATAGTACATTCAGGAACCCCTCAAGAACCGAGTTCGTAAAACAAAAAATAGACGTAGAGCGATAATTAGAAGGCAGATATAACTCATGTAAGGACTACTGCTTTTTCATATATATGATTTCGAGGCTTTTTGAAGGTCGAAGGCCCAAAAAAATGTATATATAAATGATTAACATGACAAACTGCGTCGATTTACTAAACGATGGAAAACAAGCGCTTGTATGGAAAACTTTTTTATTTGAGCAGGTATCTGCACGAAATTAAGCATGGCTTATTGTTTAGAAAAATTATGTAATCTCCGCAGCAAATTATTCAGTTCGTATCACTATAGTAATTCTTGTAAGAAACTGAACCCAAGTTAACGTTTTTTTTTTGTTTCCAAACAAGTAAGACAGCACTACCTAAAATTATGGAAAACAAGGCTCAAAATGTCTAAATTTCTTCTTTTTGAACACTTTGCGTCAGTTTTTGAACTCAATTGAAATTGAAATGAAACATTTTTACTAGAGCAATTTATTAACAGTACAGCATAATATATTCTTATATAAACTAAAATCTTGAAATCTTAAACTAAAATCATAAAATCTTAGACTAAAATCTGCAAATCTTAAACTAAAATCTTCAAATCTTAAACTAAAATCTACAAATTTACACAATTTCCTCAAGTCCAAGCAAATCTTCAACTAAAATCTGCAAATCTTAAGCTAAAATCTGCAAATCTTAAACTAAACTCTTCAAATCTTAAACTAAAATCTGCAAATCCTAAACTAAAATCTTCAAACCTTAAACTAAAATCTTGAAATCTTAAACTAAAATCTGCAAATCTTAAACTAAACTCTTCAAATCTTAAACTAAAATCTGCAAATCTTAAACTAAAATCTGCAAATCTTAAGCTAAAATCTGCAAATCTTAAATTAAAATTTTCAAATCTTAACTAAAATCTTCAAATTTTAAACTAAAATCTAAAAATTTACACAATTTCCTCAAGTCCAAGCAAAACATTAAATACACATTAAAGAATTAAAGACACTTAAGCAAGGAAGACGCCAGCGAGGCACACTGCACTACATTCGCAGCTAGCCGAGGAGAACCCATTGTTTAAGCCAAACACTAGTAAAATTGGTAAACAGGATATTACACGCAGGACAACAGTGATTACGCAAACAAAACAGTGGTCAATATGTTGGTGAACAAGTGCAGCAAATTGAGATAAATTGGAAAACATACCAAACAAGCACAAAAGGCATACATACAAGCCCAGTGTGACAGTACGGACAAGAAAAGCACGAACGAAACGCACAAAATGCATGGATTAACAAGACTAAGCAAGCAGTAGGCCATGTCTTAGCCATTTTAGCGGAGTAAACAGAAATGCAACTGGCAGGATACATGTGGCACACACAGGCAGTATACACGTATGCATGCAGCCGCAAGACAAGGCAATAAAGGCTGACAGCATACAGCTAGGCTGCATGTGTAAAACGGCTGACAGTTTAAGAAATTGGTGAAATTTGCACATTTCGGTTAGACAACGGTCACTTAGTGATCACTGCAGTTGCCAAGTAATGCGCACAAGCATGGCGTGGCAGCAACATAGACACACACACACACACACAAGCACATATTTTTTGTGGCCTAGAATTTACATTTTAAATGCCTACAAGTGTTTTATATTTACATTTCTTACAGTTGAGTGGCTTAAGCACATTTTGCGGCCAATTTGCTGAGACACACTCGGCCGTGCGAAGATGACGTGTGTGTGCATGTGTGTCACTGAAGTTAATGGTCATTTGTAGGAAGGAGTCAGTTAATTGCTTTAGGAAAATATACTGCAATGAAAACGAAAGTGGTTTTTGCTTAAGAATATAGTTGTTGTTGTATTTGCACACATTTCGTGACAAAGAAGTCGGAGTATGGCGGGCGCGTGTGCAACGTGCGTGGGAAACTCGCTTTGAAAGTAAAAGTGTGCGTGCGTTTGGTAGTGCAAATGATTGTGTTATATTTTTGTTGATGGCAGGCATGGTTTATTTGGAGAGAATGGACGATTTGAAGCTGTTAAATTTA